AGCATAATAGTCTTGAATATTTTTATCACACTGTGCAAACTTGAAAATGTCAAATTCAATCTGAAATTTCCTAGCCCAATTTGACTGCTGATAGATCTTTTCAAGATGTTCCCACATTGCCTTAGCAGTGCGAAATCCTCGCATAGGGATTCCAATATTAATATCAATAGAAGCCAAAATCCAAGAAACAATTTTTGCATTATTCATCTTCCACTGTTGAAGTTCTTTGATTTTTGATGCTTCAAGCATAGGCTCGGTTCCATCAATATAGCCCCACAAACCTTTGCCTTCTACAAAGAATTGAAAATGGAATTTCCACAAAGAAAAATTCTTTCCATCTAATTTGATAGCCAAAGTCTCATTTTTCTCGGTCATTATTGAATCCAATTCCACAGCAACAAATCAAAATGCAAATCAACCAAGGAGAAAAGAAAATAAAAGGGTAATCGATATTACTATCAATACGAGATGAAAAACCCAATCAAGAAATCCAATCTCCAATCCACACTATGATCGTGACAAAACAGGAAAGGAGGAATCTGGTTTGGCTTCAACGTCGGAATCCTCTGTAATGGTTTCACCTCCGATACTGAGCCGGTGGTTATGGAGTCAAAACCCCTGTCGGTGGCGATGTCTCAGGAACTGGCAAAATCTCCTCTACAATGGCTTCACTTCCGATACTAGGCCGATGGTTATGGAGTCAAAACCCCTGGTGGCGACGATATCTCAGGAACTGGCAAAATCTGCTCTGATACCATGTAAAGTGAGGCGGAAGTGGAGGGTGCAAAACAACTTACAGAGCTGCTCACCCTTAACAGCATATTTATATTAGGTTATATAAAATGTAAAGTTACATAAAAACCCTTAATATAAAACAAAATTACAAAATATGCCTATTTCCTACACCTTTCTCACATTGCATATTCTATTTCTCTGTTATGCATTCTACAAACCCATTTGTAGTCCTGTGTGGGGGAAGAGAACCTGCCATTGAATTTTTGTTCAAACATGCGGGCTTGATAGAGGGACTCATTTTATAAGCACTTATATTTATATTTTATTAGTTGTTATGTATAATTAGTAGTTTTTTTTTCTAGTTTGGATAGATAAAAATGTTTAAATTACAGATTACGAATATTATTAGTTTATGATTTTTTTAATTTGTATTTTTATAGCAAAGATTACAAATGTAATAAATATATTTTTTAATTAAAAATTAATAAAAAAAATATGATATTAATTTTAATATTTATATTAAAAATTTTAATTAAATAATTAATAAATTAAAGGTAAAAAAATCCTTTAGTCTCTTTAAGAAGATGTCAATGTTTCTCTTTTTCTCAGCATTTTGAGTGCTTTACTTGACCTACTTTTTGTGCAAGGTCTACTTGACCTAATTTTTGAGGAACGTTTACTTGACCTCTGAGTTTATCTGCCGTTTACCTGCATTATTAAGTTGGGTCGTTTTTAATTGTTTCTTCACTGTCTCGATCAAAGACGGCTTTCTCTTTCTACCTAACCAACTTTGTAACGTTGGGCATAAGTTGCA